AACTTCAACTCAAGATCATGGTCTTATGAAGAACTGAGCCATGTTTCGGGTGAAACATTAAACAACAAAGTAGAGATGTGTTGGCAAAGGGTAAAATTGGTAATCATGATTTTTATATCACCTTATATTCCAACATGGATAAATTTGACAAAAAAATACTTGAGAAGACGAATGCCATTTCTTGTTCTTCTAATTAAAAACTGCAATCACTACATCCTTTTGAAAGGTGAACAACATTATTTTGATCCATAAATAAATTTTCTAAACAAAAGTAGGTCTACTTTAACGTCTATAAATAAATAAATAAATAAATAAAATTATCAATAAATAAATAAATAAGAATTGCTTACAGCAATGAATATCTGAACTCTCCTGAAGAAGCCCTCCAAGTGTCTCAGGTAACAGCGCTGGTTAATGTACCTTTAACATCCTAATGAAGGAAGGTTATCCATCCATCCATCCATCCATCAATCCATTTTCTTAAACTGCTGTCCTATTCAGGGTTGTGGGGGGGAAAGCTGGAGTACCCAGAAAAAACCCCATGACAACATGGGGAGAACATGCAAACTCCATACACAGGGAACACTTGCAGAGACTTGAACCCAGGTCCCAGAGGTGGGAGATGAAAGTGCTGACCGCTGCACCACCGTGCCGCCCCCCGATTAATCACAAGCTATGAAAAGAACAGAAACATTTTACATTAATCTTGCAAAATGCATTAATGGTAATAATGAAACTGCATCAGCGTTTCCCCCTTTCAGGAAGGCCATTCATATAATAATCTTATTCTGCAAGTTATATTTTTAGTGACACCCTTATATTTTCTCTTCCAGGATTCTGAATGTTTCACATAGATTCTGTTAGCTGTTTAATGACCATTGCTTTTTGTCATCTCTCCCTCGGGGCTATTTAACATTTAAAACAGGGGGCAGCTTTGCTGTGTCAAGTGTCTCTTCTTCACCATGAGACAGGTGCTGATGCAAGGTGAGCACATATTACACCATCTGTTCTTTATGCCGGAAACACCTCATGTATAAAGAAGACTGCAGAGACCTTAAGTAAACAGGCCACAATCCCAAGTAATATCACTCATCGGTATTTTCAACTGACTGACTGGAAATAATGTATGCCATGGTGACAGCTGTTCAGTAAGAGTGAATGTAACCACCACACATGCGCCTTCAATAATACACCTGAAGATGGGGAGATAAACGTCACTTTGCACGTAGTATGGGACTGCAACAGTTCTCGTTGGTCAAAGAAATGGGCACCTGGAGAGTTGCAGTTCTATGAAGCTTACGCAAGAGCTGAGAAATATTTAATTTTCCTTCTATACCCCTTGTATACTTAAGTGCACTTTCATCCCACACTCACTTTTGCTAAAGGTAGCAAGAAAGCCCTTTAGCATTTCAATTCAGTTAATAAGTTTACCTTATTTAACAATTTTTAACCTTACTGTGTTCAAGTGTTTTTGTAACAGAGACATGTGCATCCCCTGCTCTCAGAGCTAGTGTTGTTTTTCCATTTCATTTCAATCCCCCCAGCTTGAGAGCCCTTCCTGAACACAGTGCCGTAACAAAGCGTGCACCAGGGGTGCCAGATGGGTGGATTCCATGCCCACATGCAGCCCGCTGTGCAGGATCACCATGGAGAGTCGCCTGGCGCCCGGCAGGTTGGCCTTGTGTTTGTGCATCTAGCAAAGGGCACAAGAGGGAATCCTGGCAAAGAAGGTTGCAAAAAAAGAGGGCAGCTAACGGGCTCTGTGCAAGGTTTGGATTTCAGTGTGACCGGCTGAGACCTTAACAGCATACAAACACAGCTTCATTTTTACAATTAAATTATTTTTTTGCATCATCATTCTATGTCATTGATGTAACTGGGACCTGATGATGTTTAGGCTGAAATTCATATTTCCCTAAATTACGTAAACGCCTCCATGCAGCTTGGTGTCTGGTTCATATCAGTTTCCTAGGTGCTGAATGATCCATCGCTGACTCCACGCGGTCATGGCGTAACTCGGGTGCGATGGCACCAGGTCTCGGTCATCTTCGTGAGCCGCACAGTGGAAGCCGTGTGCAGATTCATGCAACTAAACTATCAAATCCTATTTGTGCTGACTTAACCTGGCTAATCACCCACTATTACCGCAGAGGAAATGGCATTTACCCACAGCTGCTGGCACTGACCTTTCCAAGCATACAATACACAGTGTGTTTTTGCAACTCATCTTCCCTTAAAATGTATTCCGGAGCAGATTAAATACAATTCTTTATTAACACTGGTTGAAGAATTAATGTCATTGCAACATGACTGTACCTAGATAAAAAATATCTTAATACTTTTTATGACTTGAGGTATGTAGGTCAATATCACATTTATTACCAGTTTATGATTTGAGTGGATTGCTTAAGTGTGAGGCTGCACTAGACAATGGCTGTTTCACTGTGCAATAAGTCTTTCCTCCTACTTTAAATTTACCACTTTATCAATGCACCATTTCTAGATAGATAAATAAAGCCTGTGTGTTTAACGGGGTGTGCAATACAACTTAAAATAAAGTCAGTTACATGACATTTAAAAAAAAATGCCAACCAATTACATGTTCTAGAGGTCGATATATCAATGTGCATATTCAGAACAACAGATGCACACGGGACAAACTGAAAAGAAGCCGGCAGCAATTATATGAACTGTACTGTGAACCTTCTATCAGTAGAGGTCAGATGATAGACGCCTTTTATTCTGCATGACAATAAGTGTGTCAAAATTCAAAGGAGGGTAAGTCGTTGTGAAATTACTGAGAAACCATTTCGTGATGTTATTTCCTAACAAAAGTTCCAATCGCTCTGTCTAGACCAGAATGTGCAGGATCTACTACGAGAACAAAGTCTGGTATGTGGGCGTGGTTACTTTCGGCGGATTTCATTGGATTTTCTGGCGAACTGACGTGCGAAACCTCGAAGACGTGCAGTACGTGATCTGTGTGCTGACTGTGCACGTCGTGGTGTCTTGGGGGCAACGAAAACACAACATGGCAAAACATGATTTAGTGACAGGTCGTCTCTTGTATTTCATGTGTAGCGGAATCGAAAAGCTGAAAGCTCTCTCTGAACCGGCTGAAATCTGATTGCTAATTATGTAATTGTACAAGTATGTTGATTTTGGGCTTATGTTATGATATAGTTGTCTCCAATTGTTGGAGTCATTTTGCAATAGTAGTAATAGTAGCACAAATATGTTGAGCATGGTCTTAAGTAAACAGATATTATTTTAAGAATGTCTACAGTTTAATCTTTTTTAAAACTGTTGGCTAAAGCATTAGTCAGACACATATGACTGGTCATATGAAATGATCAAAACATTCAAACTCATGAGTTCATCAGAGCAGGACATAAAGTCTTCGGACTATTTTGTCATATCACTGTTGCTCAACAGTTAACACCCGTAACTCATTACCATTGGAATTGTGGGTTTGATTAATATCATTCCCTCTGTATATATGTGAAGTTTTCTTAGGTTTCCTCTGTGTAGTCTGGTTTTCTCCTACGATTCATAATATTGTACTTAGGTGAATTAGCATCTGAAAATTGTCCAAAGTGTGTGCCACATAATTGACTGAGCCTTCACTGTTTGCCTGTAAATGGTAAGGTTATGGAATATGGATTGCTTAGATCACTGTCATTTGACATGTAGAAAAGAAACCTCACTGGATGTAGAGCAAGCCTTTCTTTCCATGACTTAAACACTGATTTGTTCAATCATACCAGCTGATCGTAAAGCTACTTCACTTTCTGAATTGGCAGTCTTGTCAATTTAATAAAAGTTGCAGAAGAGTAGGTCTATAACTGTGAAAATTTCTATGAAACCCAGAACGTAATAGAAAAAATGAAAGTGAAAAAAATATCCAATGGCTTTAAATGCAGAATATAGTAAGAGGTACAGTTTGGGCCAGGTGTCACGGCAGGAGAAACCGGACCCAGTCTGCATGAATGGTGCATGAAAGTGATGGAGGAGGCAGCAAAGGTATGGATCCTCTGAAAGAAATTCCATACTTTAAAGCAGATGTAAATGTCTCTATTCCAAATATCCTCAGCAGGGAGGAAGGTTGATTCATATCTTACCCACCTATACCATCAAGTATTGAAAAGCTAGTATGTATTACCAGTGTTGAAAAGCACTTATTCACAATCTGTGTAAAGACTATCTACAGCATTTTATACTGAGAGATTGCTGAAATTAAACTGCATTAATAAAAAGGTATATAAAATTTGCATCTTGGGACTGTATTTTCACGTCCCATTACAGGCAAATTTAGCATTTTCCAGTGTTCTGCTTTGACAAAGAGAGCCAGCATTAAGTTCTAATTTTTCTACCATCTTCCTAAAACACAAGAGGAAGTAACAACTCAGTTAAAGTTACTGTTGGTTTTGTGTGCAGACATTGCGACACTTTGAAAGCCAACAGTGCATGTGTTATTGCATATAGTATTGATATCTGCATGTAAGTTCTAAAGGCAAATAAGGTAAATATCCAGGAAAGGCAATTGAAAATATTTTGAAAAATGTTGGAATCTTTGGAGTTGCATAATTAGGGTCTGTATCCACTGGAATCAAATGACAGCAATCCAGAAATCAATGTAGTTCATAGCATGGGTGGGTCATTTCATACTATCTGTGTTAGTGTCATACCAACAGAAGAGCAAACTGAGTGAAGCTAGAAATTTTTCTTTATTGTTCGCAACTGCAATTCTTAATTAGAACAGAAATATTGTGGTATATTTAGACCAAGGATTACGGATTCGATAATTACAATATCGTGTAAGTATATTCTGAATAAAAACAGTAATTGGATAAACCAAATTTTAATTTTAGTATTTTCCTTCCTGAAGAGGTATTCCTGTAAAAATTCTGAAAGGGAGCTTACATTTATGAAAACAAATTGAAGTGTGCCAGTGAATTTAATGGAGCTTGAAGAATGTAAGGAATGAATCAGGCACTGTGTGCGATTTGGTATTTAATAATTTAATACAAGTGTAGCAATGTTAAAGTAAGACTTTAATATAAAAATAAAATTCTGACAATATTAAATAAAAAAAATGCTGAAAACAGTATCAGGCGGTATATCTGTAGTCCATCCAAGGTTTACATGCACAAGGCTTTAAGGTCATGTAATTCAAAGGATCCGCACTCAGAAACATGTACAAGAACCTTCTGGAGGACCTTCAAGTGGGATGGTGGAAAAGGAACCAAAAAAAATAATTTACAATCTGTAGTGAGAAATTAATTCTGCAAACTGTCTTGCACATTATTTGTGGCCAGGATGATCATCTGATCAGTAATGCCAGTCCTGCCCCTATCCCCGCCACGCTTGCAAATGCAAAGAGCGCATTCCTCACCAACGATTCAGTGTCTTCTACATGAAAGAACTCCACAAATCCATCCTGAAGGGGGAGAGAGAGGAAAAAAAAATAAAAAATCAACAATTAAAATATTGCTGAAAACGGCTTGACGTTGTTGTCATGACCTAGATGTATTTAGGAAAAGTCGTCGGGATGCAAGTAGATGTTTGTATGGAGTACATACCCAGGCCTTGTTCTTGAGTAGCCATTGTCGCTGCTCTGAGAGCAGGTAGGAGGAGATCTGCTTCCCCACAGCCTCCACGCAGTGCTCCCGCCCAGTCTCCTTCAGGTATTTACACACCTCTGCCCCAAAGGCCACAAGGCTGGCAATACGCCCCCAGTTTGTGGTTCCATCACTGAATATTCTCTCAGCTACAGTTTTGATTACGGTCATGTCATCACTCTGCTGATTCAAACTTAGTTTTCCAATCATACCTGCGAGGGAAAAATATCAAACTGAGAAACCGGCAAAGAAGGAGATACCACAACAACATTGTCCTGCAGAAGAAAACTAGTCAAGTTCCAAGGGAATTCTCACTTCTGTAGCTACAGATGGAACAGCTGATTAAGTCACCAGTGACCAATGCAGATGTATCCTATTAACAGCCTAAAGTTTATGCAATTCACTGGCAACCATCCAGTGAAACAGGGGAAACATTTAACAGCCTACTATAGAGTAAGAACGTAAACGTTACTGAACCAGTAAGGACAGCCTATTTACATTTTAAATTGCATAAAGATGAAACAGCCACATCCGCGAACTTTGCTCCACTTTTCGGTTTTCTATGAGGAGAGTGATCTACCAAGGAAAGAGTATAAACTAGCTATCGGCGGAGCGGGTGAACTCCACTCCAGTACATTTTATGGGGCAATATAATTCACTTATGTAAAACAGCGGACATTTACAATTCAATTCAACTCGAGTCAGCTGAGCAACAAGCAAATGGTTATACAAATGGGAAACAGATCATCATATATCGCATACAAAACTGGCAGAATAAACTACAGTATGAACGTGCCTGCAGTTTTAGCAGCAGATTGTGCTAAGGCTGAGGTCCCCCACTAACATATCCTTTGCTTGGCTTTTGCTGATAAAGCAATGAAACTACGTGGAAGTCAAGGCGGTGCCTCGTTTCTGAGAAAGATTACAACCAAAGGCTTTGCGGTTTTTTTTTTTTTTTTTATATATAGGCAGGTATACATGCGCGCGCAGACACAGTAGAACCCATTCTCCAAAATAAACATAGAAAGTGACAAATAATTTAATAGAAATACCGAGCAATCATTTAACTCCTTGCACTCCTGTGCGATACCAAAAACTGACATCTACAAGGCTTAGTCATAGGCCACAATACAAGTACTTTTAAAAGTAAATATTTATATCTGGGTAGAGGGATATCTTTCAAACACGATGACTTGCCGGCCATGATCCAACGGTACGGTTTATATGCTGCAATTGTCATGTTTTTGCACAGGGGTGAACTGACAATATCAACTGAATGTCATTTACTCCCTATTATTATGGTAAAGATAGTCGAAGCTCACACGAAAATTAACTGAATTCACCACACGCTACTTGGCTGTAAATTGCAAGGAACACGTAACCACGACCACAGCTTCAGGTCAGCGTAGCAAAGGAGTGTTTATTTACCATTGTAAGCAAACTTGTGTTTTTCGACAACAGTCGCCACCACCCGCTTCAGTGTGGAGAGCGCCTCGTTTCGTCTCTGTAATGTCGCACACAGCCCCGTGTATTCGGCGAAGAAAGTCGTGATTAATTCGCTAGTCTCTTGGTCCAGCATTTCGACGGCGCTGCGAGAGAAACCACAAATGGGTCCGTAAGCTGGCAAGTCGCCGTCCGGGGAAGTCGGCAGTGAGCCGACCGCGTTTGTGCTCCCGGGCAACCGGCTTCCCCGACACGGCTCTTTTTCAGAATCCCTTTTGGCGAGTCTTGTCGAGCAGGGACACACGTCCACCTCGTCCGTACAGTTGTCCAGCTCGTCGTCCCATAACCCGGAGGACTCCAGACAGGGTGTGTTTGCGGCTCTTGCAGACGAATCGAGACACTGCAAAATGCTTTTCCCCAGGACGCCATGGTGCAGGGGTCTGTGGTAGTTCATGCTCACCATAATCGGCGCGTAACTCTTCAAGCTTTGTGGATTCATGTTCACAGAATATCCGCCACCCGACAGCGACGACGATAGATTGAAAATCTTCAGAGAATCCAGCTTTGAAACAGTTCCCTACCAGCTAATAGTAAGATCCCCTTGACTGTCATGAACGCAAACATCCAGCTTCCGCGATATTTGTACGGCCCACCGCGGAGGCGGAGCAGGTTCTCGAGTTCAAACACAAGACATAAAATTCTACTTAAATTATAGAAAAGCAGAGTCAGCTTTGATATAATATATTATTCGTACAAAACAATTATCATCATTTGTTATAATAGTGTTCTTGATTGAATATAATCTTTAAGTACATACATATACGTGACTGGTGACAACATCGCCACATGTTTTGAGAACTATCAGTGAGATGTTAAGGAACGTCGCGCACGTCAGTCATGAACTGCCTGAAATGATTCCCCCTCCCCCGTCGTGTGGTCATTATTGGTTGTGGTTCATTTAAGGTTGCAATAGCCTAAACTAATAGACTTAATGTTGTCAATAGATGGCGCCCATGCTCTTTATATTATATAAGTTTCACGTATGGCTCTTTGTAAGTTGTACTATGAAAGTGAGAGACACGGTTGATCGTGGTGCGGTATGTAAAAACGAATATTAGAGAATGGTGGAGACACTGTTTGACAGTCTGTTGAGTTGCTCTAAATAAAACACCCAGGAATAGAGTTGAAGAAATTATGGATTCATTCTTTCAAAGCTTGGAAGAGCTGCGCGCCTAATTGCTCAACACTAAACAAATAAAATTAAAGTTCTCGCACATATTTTGAAAAAAAAAAAGTAGTAACCTTGACAAGTTAGCACTGTTGCCTCTTAGGCTTGGGCTTAGGTTCTGGTCACCGCCCGGGCTCTACATTTATGATCTCCGTGTCATCGTGGAGTTTCTTCCTGGGTCATGTCGCCTTTTTCTTGTTGTCGTTCTGCTTCCCTCTTGTGGTAAAAATCATTGAGTCAGTGAATATCATTGCCGCTTCACATTCCGCGACTATTGTGCATTCCGTTTGTGTGTCTGTCCTCCTTTTTATTTACAGCCCAAGTGACGCCCCTGTGACCTGTGAAGGAAGAAATCCTGTCCATGGTTAAATTGTACTTTCTATTAAAGAACAAGTGAATTATTTTGATCCAGACTAAAAATAGGACTTCCTGGAGAAATTCCTTTTATAAGGTCACAAGGAATCGACATCACTATACCCCTGTCCACCGTCAAAGTGCCTACAGTGGGCCTTCAAGTGTCGATACTGGACCTTGGAGCAATGGAAGAAGGTGGCCCTGGTCCAGTGAATCCCATTTTCTGTTGCATCATGTGGATGGCTGGGTATTTTTTTTTAAAGAATAACCAAAATTTGATCATAAAAGTAGTAAAATATAAATTAAAATGGTACAGAGGAGCACAAATCCAATTTATGTAAAATTTTATTTCAAATACTGACAAAAATTTCAGCACTTTTCACACACCACTAAAACAATCTTTTGTACATTTATACAGATTTAACTGAAATGCAATTGTTCATTTTCGAATTTATCTCAGTGTTTGATTCATAAATTGAAACTGTTAACTGTTACGTTGTGGGGGATACAGACATAATAGCAAAATGCTCCCCTGTTCAAAGGGTGACATTAGTGTTGCCAAGAAATGAAATATATAAAAAAAAACAGCCTCGTCAGAAATAGACTCTGGTCGAGGAGGGGGATTCAAGACTACATGGTTGTTGTTATATTATGATGTCTTGTAAATTCCAATGCAAACACTTTACAAAAAAAGCTACACAGTGGTCCTGAAGAGTCTTTCGCAGCATAACATATCCTAAAACCTCTTTGCAAACAGAGAAAAATATACCACTAATCAAAGTAATCACATGCCATTAGTACTCACAGATCATAGCACTTTGTTTTTACCTCATAACATTCAGACAGCTTCTAATTTGTCAAGATCAATTGCCAACTGACTTTTTTCAGTCTTATATTAATTAGTCCTAAGAATGAAGTAAACAGTGTCATTCTTTTTGCAGAAAATGTGATATCACCCACCAGATTTATCATAGCTTCCATATTTTTGGATTGTTGTTACAATCCAAAGATCCATCGGTTATAAAAATATCAGATAATACAAATTTCTGAAAAGGGTAATTGTGTTACATTTCTGTTCCAGGATCAATAACTGAAGAAAAAAAACAATTATTTACTGCCACTAAATGATGTCATAATTTCATTTGTCTTTGGGGATACTGCTTCATATGTGTCTATTTTTTTTTAGTTTATTCTATATGGGGAATCTTGCATGTTACAATGAAAAAGAAATGACTAAAAATATCAGTGAGTCCACACTAAGAACAATCATTTTTAGTCATTTGTAATTGCTAGCTTTAAAAGGACTTAGACATGAATAGACTCACCCAGAATGCCTGTTTTTAAAGCTTTTCACCATATCATTCTTAAAAAAAAAAAAAAACCCTGTATAAGCAAGAAGGATGGGTACCACTTGTGTCGATTGAAGCCTAAATTATAAATCTAGCATTTATACAGATGCTCTGTGAAGGAGTGTTTAAATGTAAAGACGTTAATCAGCAGCAGGGTAACGTACACAGACGTGATTTGCAATGCTGTGCATGTATGTATATATATAAATATGCATGAGAGAACAGGAGAGTTTCTTACAGCATGACATGCTACTATAGCAAGAAAAATGGGTGCAACAAAACATAAAAACAAGCAATGCAGGAAATAATAGAAATATTAAGGGATAAGATACAATTACAAGGGTGTAATGTTTATAGAGGATTTATAGCTATCATATGGAAACAAACCAATACAAAACCAAACTGGGATTTCTATTTACAGCATGATACTAACATCCTGTGACACTGTACAAAATAAAGATTGTTTTCTCACCCTGAGAACTAAAAATATGTACTAACAAACTTGCATAAGCGTGCACACGCGTGCATACACACATTTTCTCATTGTAATTGTTTTTAATGTCAATTTATGAGAATTTCTCACCACCAACACTTAAATCACTTAACTCCTATTGTTGGTCCTGCAGCACCAAATAAACTGAGATGACAAATATTCAAAATAAGCAAAGCCTTTATAATCATCACCAACAAAATCATTAACATGACTTAATGAATTGGTAAAATAATTATAGGCTATTCTACAGCTAGTTCACCTCGTTTCTAGTCCCACCTGATAAAACTTTTTAGCCTGTAATCTAGATCAAATAGTTGACATTCTCCATTTCTGAAACACAGTGCATTTCAATGTGATTTTCACAAAAACTGAACTCACAGAAAATTAGATCCTTTGGAAAACTTAATGATAATGCAAAATGCATGCAAATGCTTTGCCCTCTTAAGTCTCCCAGGAATATGTAAATAAGATTGCTAAAAGCCCACCCTGCAGATAAGTCTACGGTTATAAACAAATAATGAATGTAGTGTAAAGGCTTTTTTTTTTTTTTTAAATAAAGATTTGTTCAGCTCGGGCTTAGGTTTTTGGCTCAGATGAGTATAAAGTTTTGGAAGGCATTGTGGGATTATATACTGAACTAAATAATGGTAAATAAAAGGGATTGATTGTGATTTTCAAGCCCTTGGACCAGCACCCCCCCCCCCAAAAAAAAAACTCAAACCCCCAATGAGTAAACCTATACAAGGCCAACCATGTATTGATTAAAGCTGTTAAATGCTTAACTTGGATATTAAAGTGAAATATGACAGAATCAAACCCTTCATCTGATTCAGTTTTGTATTAGGTGTTAAAGGAGAACATGTTCCTTAAAAATGCTAAATGCTCCTAACATTAACATCTCTGTGTTCCCGTGTTCCCTCTGTGGACAGACATACCCAAACTCAGAAATGCTTTGCCTTTTGATAACTGAACCTGAACCTGATTGTACCTGAAACAACTAGAAGTGCAAAATACATTCATCATAAAAGTGCTTGTATGCAAAATCTCTAGCATCCTTGGCTTCCAATACAAATACGTCATACGCCCTTTTGTCATACAATCCATTTCCTGTAACTGCTTTTACAACCAGAGTTGTGCCTTAATGAATGGGGTGCAAGGCAGTGTATACCCTGGTCAGGGAACTAACCCATCACAGGGCACACACATACATTCTCTAACTCAATTGTAATTTAGAGTTATCGGTTCATCTAAACAGCATGTCTGTAGATAGTGAGAGGAGGTCTGAGTTCTCAGAAGAATTACACAGACATGTAAGAAGAATCTGCAAATTGGACAGTGAACTGACATGGAACTCCTGTGCATGGTACCACCTGAACAGCCGCTGAACCACCTCGCCCTTCCTAAACAAAACCAACTATTTTCTACAATCCCTTCTTTCATTCAGTCTTCAAAATAAATGCTTGTACAAAATGTAACTAACGTTAAAACTCGCTCTAATCTGGCGCCAACGCAAAAGCGACACAACCCATGATAATGACATAGTGTAATTATCTGAGGCGTTTCAATTATTCCAGACATCTTTAATCTTAAGTCTTTTGTGTGTAGCTTGCATTAAAAACACAGAACGTTCCTAGATATAGTGGGACATTATACTGACTTAACTGCCCCATTTCTGTGCATGATACATAAAATATATAGCAACATATAGGGCACTTATTCTGATACAATTAGGTCTCCCATCAATTATTAATGTTGCAGCTGCTGTTTTGAATATTTTATTGAAATGAGACTAAATAAAATCTGAAACGCCATCTTTGGTTATATACCCTTTGCTTCAGCCACACTTGGTCACAATATTTAGGTAGCTAATTACCCCACCATACCCTAGAATTAGTTCCCATTTAATGAGATTTACACAGTAGCATTCAGAAATAATCTACCTAACCTAAGCTAATATGTTGTTGCTGCTTGCCACATTCATCAGTTTTGAAGGAAATAACTGAAACAGGTACGCAATCAAATATTAAATGTGTGCTAAGAAGGATTCAAGTCCTGATCCAAGTTCGAGTAAAGTTACAGATTTCTCTCACATAGGAGGAAGGCAGATATACATACAAGGCAGCACATGTATTTGACAACATGTAGAAGCTTGAAAAAGCATCTCCACGTCTTGTGAAATCTCTCTTTAGGGAGTATACATCTCATCAATAATTTGCAATTTTGGCAGCAGTGAACTTGATTCACAAAGCAACATGACTTTGTATTTCTGCTGACTGCAGCTGTTCCACTTGAACTTATCTGGGTTTACATTGATATGTTTACGTGTTCATGTACGAGTACTATTTTAAAAGCATCAATGCCCTTACAACAAGACTTCAGTAACACATTTTGATCATTCCTAATACAGATGTGTAGGGGGAAAAAACAAGGTCTATTTATTTGGACTCTACTCCATTTCTTTTGATGTTTCAAGCCTTTCCAAACAGATGGAAGTAACGTTGCAAAGCAAAGGATGTTAGACTGCACTGTATGCATGGGGAAAAGGTTTCCTAAAGCCTCCTCCCACCCCAAAATCAAATGTACTGACTTTTCCAGATGATCGCAGCAAGAGCAGCCTGACAGAAGAGACGTGTGTGATGTGCTAGCCTGCCAGCTTGCTGGTCACCAGTGACGATTTCCTCTGGGGCAGGTCTTGCGGTGTGGGAATGTGATCCCCTGTCACCAAGTTTTTGTCTGGCCCAGTGGCGGGCAGCTGCTTGTTCTTCATCTTCGCCTTGGCCATGTTGTAGTCGCCCGAGTCGAAGTACTTTTGCTGCAAAGGAAACCGAGAACTACATCAAAATGTGCCATCAAATATACTACATCAACATGTGCCGTCAAATACACTACATCAACATGTGTCGTCAAATACACTAGAGCTGGGAAAATCGTCTGACTGTAGTTCTTCCATTTGCCGATCGACACATTGTTCATTTAATTTAATTGCAAGCTATGAAAAGAACTGAAATATGTTACCTTAATCTTGCAAAATGCAATAAGGGTAATATTGAAACTATTGTGTAAGACCTCTAGTTTGTCTACCACAAAAAAAACACTAGGCTGAGCATACCTCTGAAACACTGATCTCTGGTTTCTGAATGACTTTGTGGTCATTTTCTAGTACATCTTGAAATTTCTTCTCCTAAATTCTCTTATATATCTTATAGTTGAAATCATTTATCACTTCTCATGTAATTCAGTTTCTTTGTATGCCATTTAACAAAAATAGTTTAATAATAAATAAGGAACACATCATGGTTACTTCAGTCCCAGCCCTAAATGAGATGTTAAGTGTATTTCAGGTCACAGTAACAGCATTTTGCATACAGGGATTTCATAATGCTAAAAAAGTTTTAATTCTATTGCTGATTTTGTCTCTTAGAAGCGTGACATTGCGGATACAGCTTACGATCTAGAGACCTGCTTGGAGAACTGACTCATTGATGGACCTTGTGACCATGATCACAGTTTATACCCTGTTTTTGTTTAAATCAGGTCAATTTTCTCTGTGTTCCATAATGTTAGCATTCCCTGAAGGGGCTGGGAAGCCAGTTGAAACCTGAGGTTTTTTTTTGTCCCTTCTCAGAAGTTTTTGGTTCCTCTCCTCTGTTGTCTTCTGGCATTCTCTCGCTCTTCTTCCATTATTCTTGTTTCATGTACCATTCCGTATGAATGATGTAATAACGCACTGCCACACACCCTGTACAAGCACAATGGGGCAACTTTGCTGTGGAAGGTGCTACACAAAGATAAAGCGAGTATTTTGAAAATGAGTGCAACTTCTGCATTAAATGTATATTTACCAGTGACAATGACAAGGAAACACATAAGAGAACTTCAACATACACCCTTTTGTAGTCTCTTCATCAAGAAGTCAGACCCCCCCGGCTTCTGCCCCAGGTTGGGGTACTTGGCTTTTAGCTTGGCCTCCTCTGCTTTCACTGGGTTGGAGTTCTTTTCCTGGGAATCCTGTCATGATGAAAAAAAAAGATCTTGTAAGAGCTCACTATCGTGTCTTTACATGACATAACTAAGGCACCTGGGCCTTTGCAAACCATCGGATTTCCATTAGATATAGATAGATATTTTTTTTTATTGTCAATTCACATTTTATGTGCAAGACATACATGAGAACCAAAATGCCGTTTCTCGCTCACTGGTGCGCGTACCAGTGCGTAGAATGCATATACATTCTATATAAAAAAAGACAGATAACAAGACACAAGACAAACTGACAAGGCAAGAGACATATCGACAAAAAAGGCAGTTGTGCAAATGGTAACAATAGATAAGGCAGTTGTGCAAATGGTAACAATAGATAAGGCAGTTGTGCAAATGGTAACAATAGATAAGGCAGTTGTGCAAATGGTAAACAATACAGTGCAAATGGTAGCAATCATATAAGTCAAATTCAAATTAGCAGCGGAAAGGAATGAAATGTAAACAGTCCTTGAGACTAAAGTGTAAAAAAAAGGAAAAAGAGGTAGTCAGTGAATATATTACTGTCCAGGGGTGGGGGGCAGAATGGAGGGGGTAATGGACAGAGTTCAGCCTCCTGACAGCCTGGTGGATAAACCTGTTTAAGAGAATTGTGGAGCCCGGAGGGTCCGGCACCGTCTCCCTGAAGGCAGGAGGCTGAAGTGTGAGTGTAAGGGGTGGGAGGAGTCTCCAGCAATGCTGATGGCTCTGCGGGTGAGGAGGGTATGGAGAGTGTCCGTGAGGGGGGGCAGGGAGGTGCCCATGATCTTGCTGGCTGTGTTCACTACCCGTTGCAGAGCCTTATGGCAGGAGGTAGAGCAGCTTCCGAACCACACAGCCGTACAGCCAGTGATGATACTCTCAATAGTGCCTCTGTAAAAAGAGAGCATGATGGGGGGTGGAACTTTCGCCCTCCTCAGTTTGCGGAGGAAGTAGAGGCATATTTGTGCCTTCTTGGTCAGTGATGTGGTGTTATTGATCCAGGAGAGATCCTCAAAGATGTGCACCCCCAGAAATTTGGTTGTTGTCACCCTCGCCACAGGAACGCTGTCGATGGTCAGTGAGGCATGCTGAGGAGGTCTTCTCCTGAAATCTATAACCAATTCTTTGGTCTTCCTCATATTGAGGAAGTGATTGTTCACTTTACACCATTGGACCAGTTGGTTCACCTCCCTTCTGTAGTTGTTTATGAGGCCCACTACAGTTGTGTTGTCCGCGTACTTGACGAAGTGGTTTGTGCTGTAGGTTGGCACACAGTCGTGTGTCAGTAGTGTAAAGAGTAGTGGGCTTAGCACACACCCCTGTGGAACCCCTGTGCTGAGCATCCTGGTCCTGGAGGTGTTGCTGCCGACCCGTACTTTATGTGTCCTCCCTGTTAGGAAGTCCCAGAAACACCCAGTTACAGACGGATGTTTTGAGTCCCAATTGTCCAAGTTTGTGAGTAAGCTGCTGGGGAACGATAGTATTCAATGCTGAACTGAATTCGAGGAACAGCATTCGTACATACGAGTTCTTTGAGTCGAGGTGTGTGAGGGCTGGATATAAAGCAGTGGAGATGGCATCATCTCTGGACCCGTTTGACCTGTAAGCAAACTGAAACGGGTCATGGGGGGGGGGGGGGGGGGGG